GCTTTAAAAGGTTGGTTCCATCTAGCATAGTACAGGTTAGTAAATAGAATAGTTTTGAAAATTCTTGTTGTATTATTATTTGAATCAAACAAGAGAGAAACATGATAGAGAATGTTTTATCAAAATTAATTGTTAGCAACCTAAATATTTATGAGGCTTGATTAAAGCTAGCAACACTGAAGCATCTTAAATATTCATGAGAGTCAGTCAAATATTTTGAGGCATCTGAATATTCATGAAGGTCGGCAAGCAACACCGAGGCTTCTTGAATATTCATGAGGGTCAGCTTGTATCACTGGAACATGTTGAATATTCATGAGGGTCAACCAGCAACAATGAAATTAATATTCATGACAGTCAGCTAGCAGCAGCATCTTGAATATTAATGAGGGCCAGCTACCAGCATTGAGGCATCTTAAATATTCATAAGAGTGATGAGCTAAAAATACTGAGGCATCTTGAATATTTATGAGGAATTAATAAAATGTAAGCCTGACATTGGTTGTTTTAACATCTTGGCCCGTATTCATGAAACCATTCTCTGATGCTCAATCTCCATTGAGTCCAATTCTGTGCTCAAGCCTAATTTCTTGTTCTGGTGATAAATAAATTTAAACTTAATTTTTTGGTAAATGATTTGGAAGAATTTTGGAGAGACTTACAGCTGAATACCGTTTCAAATGTTACAAATAGCAATTGTAACGTTTCTCATGACTTATGCGAATTACAAGAAAATTGGGTTGAGCACAGAATCTATGGTTGAGCATGAGAATGGTTTCATGAATACGGGCCCAGCTATACTATTTAATCAAAACGTTAACATCTTGGAAACTATCTACTTTCAGACAAAACTTGTCAGTTTTGATCACCGCCCTTATAGCCATAGATGTTGCAGATTCAGAATATAGTTTTAAAATTATGTCTTGTAGCTGTCTAAATTAGAAGAAAGTGTGACTTGTAAGTGGGATGAGAGAGGCTTTTGGTTTTTACATAGTGTGGAGGAAGTAACGTGTCACGTACTGCTGCAAAGCTTAAAGATCAAGAAAAACTGCAACAAGAACGACTCGGAGTCCTGCTATACTTGTCTGCCTCGTTGTTCTGCTGTGAAGGCGTAGAAGGACACCATTTAACTCATCCACCCCTGAAGACACATTTGAACTCTTCCAATTCAAAGGTTGGAATAGCTCATTATGAAATTTCAGGGGTGAATGAGTTAAGCTAAATGAATTAAAATGACAATTTTTCTATCTCCAGTTTTTCCTATCGCTATTTTTGAAAGTAAGCTCGTTTTGTTATTCAAAGGTCAAATAATATTTAATCACTTTTGAAATCATATGAATATCTGGAATATTGATTATGTAAATTTATTAAAGGACATTTCTGATCAATAGTGGAAAGATTTTCAAAATTTATTCAACTGACTTGTTAATCACGTAAATAACTTCCTTTCATACATTGGATAAATGATATATACATCTGAAAACCTTTTAGAAAGATCATAATATTTTCTAAATTTTAATTAAAATCAATATAAGTTTTAGGTTATAGTAAGACAGATCTACCAGTAGTTATATATTACACTAACAGAAGTGAAGAAACGAGATCAGAATTTTACCTGTTAAATGTTATTGCCCATTATTTATCAAGTATTGATCAAAGTTTTGTACTTCAATTGTTACTTCAAATTTGAAAAAAAAAAAAAATAGTGGGAAAAAAACATAAAAATCACCTAACAACGTAAATAGCTATTAAATGATGCATGTGACCCTATGCATATTACAGGTCACAGGTAACTGCTATACAGATCATAGGTCAAATACAAGCTTTTTATCGTCAATCCCTAATTGCCATTTTGTCACAGCAGAACTAAGAGACCAAAAGGATACCAGTCACTCTGAATCAAAAGTGAATAAATCATTAATGTTACAAGTTGTGTGAGTCGGAGATTAAATAATGATATACCGCTTACCTCCATGACCCTCCTTACCTGTAGAAGATTTACAAATCAAATCATCTCTACAATTTTCAAAAACATGTTGCTTTCTGTTTCGTTTTTGGGTACAATGAATAGTAGACCTCTTAAGAGAAAACTTGTCCTTTGTATGTTAAAAACTCAAGACATCCAACTGGAAGATGCCAAAACAAAATTATAAAATAAATAATAATTATAAAATGTTATACTCACTTAATTAACCCTTTTCCCTCTGTAGACCATAATGGACTCATCCAGATCAATGCATAGTTTAGTTTACTTAAGTTACATAGGGGTGAAAGGGTTAAAAATTATAATCTATTTAAACAGAACCCTGTGTAATCTGAAAATTTCTATAAAACAGACAAAGATGCAGGTGTTCACGTATATATTTCTATGTAAATTGAATCTATATTATTAGAAAACCTGTCTAAACCAGACCTTCAACTTGGTCCAACTGTACACATTTCTATGTAAAGTGTAAAACAGCCCTTTGTATTAAGGTTCAATGTTAAATGAATTTGTGTGACCTGGAACCGTATATTAAAAAATGGGCTGTGTGTTAATGTGTAACACTTGTCTATTCGTAAAGAAATGGTCCAAGCCATCTTTCATATTACAAAATTTAAATCTATCTTTAAATATTTTAGATTGTAATTTAGAAAGACAGAAGTCAACATACAGATTGCCGTTCCTGATGACCTATGTCATAATTTTTTTTAAGAAGAGGTAATACATATTTTTAATGAATTTATTAATTTTAACTCATTCACCCCTGAAATTACATAATGAACTATTCCAATCTTTGAATTGGAAAAGTTAAAATGTGTCTTCAGTGGTGAATCAGTTAATTAATTTAGTAACAAAGTAAAAATAATTTTATGTCAAAACAAAATTATTGCCAACATTCTACCTTATTATCGTTGTTTTTTTTTTAAATCTTAAATTCTTTTGTTTCGATTACTATGAAACGGAAAAAGTTAATATAGAATGAATTTGATTTTGAGCAAAGTGCTGGCTTTAGTTATTGATATACATGGTGATGAATTATATATCATGCCGTGTAATAAACTGTATGGTTATTCATAACATTGTTATAATCATTGTGCTCTTTATATTTCTCTGGGTCAAGGTCACATTTGAATATCTGCATGACTGGTGAAATAACATCAATTCGAAGACAAAATTTAATCTAGAGATACCGATTTGTAAATATTGTAGATTTTCCCCAAGGGGGCAAATTAACCCAGATTTCACAAAAAAACAACAAAAAAAACAACAATGGTTCCACACAGACATCAAAGTATGTATTCTTTGCACTCTGAAAGCTAGCAAAAAAAGTATCATGAATAAATTTGAAATTGAGAAGGGTTGAAATTTCAAGTTAAAATTTCCCCCAAGAAAATCTACATTTGACCAAGAAAATTATATTTTCAGTTTTAGAATATGTCGCTTATAACTGAAATGTTGAAGGTTAAGAAAAAGTAGAGAGAAATGAGATGATGCATAAATTGACATATGAATCGATCTCTTCTCTGGAAATGTGGAAGCAAGCTCTGAAGATCGAAACACTAACTTTCCTGCATTAAGGACTTCAAACTGTGACCTTGACCCAATTTTATATTTGACCCAGTAACAATTTAGTGTAATATTTAGCCAATGATTTTACATGCCCTGCATCCAGTATAATTTGAGGGTGTTTCAAAATAAACCACTGGTAGTGACAAAGATTCTCTGTCAATTGTTAGGTAGAACATTGTCATCATTCTTATAATTTGAGGTGAATAAACAAAAGAAAACAAACTTAAGGTTTTTGTTATTTAAAGTGTTTCTTTTTTATATCAACTACTCAATCTTTTTTCTTTCATTTCTCCTTAAAAGTGTTCTTGCTATATATCAAATCAAAGAATTAGGCCTACATTTGTAACCAGTAAAAAATAAAGCTTTCATGTTGAATTATTTCACAACTATCTAGAATAATCGTGAACATTTTCTCATGTTATATCCTGATAAAGAAAAAATATCCTGGATTTCGTACTTAAGGGTCAATGGTTAAACAATATGCAAACATATATACGAATACAGACAACACTTAATACATATATCCTATATATACAGGCTAGTTTGTATACCTGTCCTTTTCTTAGCTAGATTTTAAAATCAGTCAAGGAATAAAAACAAAGAAAAAATATACAAAAAAACATGTAAAAGGTCAGACAAATAGGATGACAACATCAATGAGGTTTGGTTCACAATCAAACAGAGTTATCTGCCCCTACACCAGCATGCATATCTGACACCCACGGATATAGCATGCTAAAATTTCAGCTATCTACTTCTAATTTAGCATGCTTTTAATCGAGTAACAAGTTCCGCAATCAACAATGTACTCAACACAAAAGTCTTTATAAAGCATGTTTAAACGAGTTATCTGCCCTTGGCACAGGAAGCCTTAACTGCATGTACGTAATTTCATTTCAACATAATTCATAATTGACATAGATGGCATATTGTCAAGTGCTTGGGCAGCAGGCACAGCCTATGTAAACCTTCTCCATATACGTATTTAGAATGAACGACCCCAGAAAAAGACTTATCTACCTTTGAATAAGCATGCCTAAACTAGATGCTTCTCCTGAATAAGCAAGCGTGAAATAGTTATCTGCCCCGACAAAAAACTAATTATCTCCCCTGAATAAAAACTGCTTATACAGTTATTTAACAAGCACTCCATATAACAACATATATTTAAAACAGTTTTTCCCTTCATTTCTTGTATCAATAAATATAAAAATGCTCTATAATACAACAGTGTTTTTTTTACTTCAATGGATTTTTTAAATACAAGAAAATTTAAGACTTGATATGCATTCTATTTTCAACAAGAACCACCCAGACTGGTGTCGACTTATGGTGTCAGGTGTATTTCAAAAACTGATGAAATTGACCTTGACCTACTTCTTCACTTACAACACTCCCGAAACTGGTCAGTTTGAGAGCAAGACTTCCAAGGTTATTTAACACTTACACGAGGTGTATTCCTGAAGCTGGTGGAATTGAGCTGGACTTAGTTTTTGCCACTGGTACGCCATAGCGACATCTGTTGACAGCTTCTCATTATTTCAGGATCATGTCAAGGGGAGATTATCCATGTCCAGCAGCTGAAAACAGGAAAATATTACCATGGTAAAAAAACAAAAGCAAAACAGACTTTCTACAGAGAAAAAAAAATCAAAAGTTTTTTACCATTCCTATTTTTTTTTATTTCTCTTATTGTTTGTGAATTTGAGAAGAAGGAGATTAAATCTTATGGACAGTTTATAAATTATAATAGATTGTAAAATTGCTTTATCTCATGACTAATATGATATACAGTAACATGTAATAAAACCATCACATAAATTTTCATTATGAAAAACACGTCATTAAAGGCTTCAGCTAATTGCTGATTGGCTGGTTTCATGTGAATTGTATTCATACCCATGGGGACAACCTTCTTCTTTTATTACGAAGTGTAAAAATGCAAATTAGGGACACTCATGATATATATCCTCTATATAATAATCTTCAATAATATGATCTTGAAAAAATATACAATAATTCTGAAAATATATTTTTATAAAAATCAATATTAGGTATATTGGTTACGGATCTGCTCCTGGGGAAACAGAATTGCTGACGTGATCGTCTCAAATTTCGTTTCTTTATCAATTGAAGTGTTCGTACTTCAGCTCAGGGCATCGCCCACAAATACACTGGTGACGTCATGTCAGTTTTCACACCCAACAGAGAGCCTCGGGGTGATAGGATGTACAAGCAATAACTTCCCGCTATTTCAATATGAGATTCCAAAATCAAATAATTAGTAGCACAATTCGAAAGGTGAGTGGGGCACTTTGACTTTTAAGGGGTCGGTTATATTCGGTGCTGGACATAACAGGAATAGAAAGAGAGCAAACGTTCAGTGGAATTTGTCAATAAAAGCAACATGCATGATTATGTCAGGGTATCGCTGAGCTCCGCAACACGTGTATTAGGAGAAGGGCAACATTGATTAAATATACAAAAAATATTCAAAAAATTTGACAGAAAGTTCATCTTAAGGATCCCTCTTGAACTGTATGCAAAACACCAGAGAGTTCCACTAAGGTTTGTCTTATAAACAGTGATCTCCCCTTGATTTTATAATTTTATATATGACTGTATATAGTGTAATTTGGCCAGCACACTTCCATTAACCAGGTAGCGCAGTTTGTTAGGGACTGACTGAACAACAACCCGAGGTCCTGGGTTCAATCCTGGTCTGAAACCTTTTAATATGTTTACGTTCCATACATTTCCCTCTCATATTTTGTTTATTTCATCTTTTTTCATTTTTTCATAAAAGTCCCACAAGGTATAGTTTTCTTGGGAGAAATGGTTTATCAAGGCCATAATCATGCCGGAGAAAACAGCTTCCAATGTATAGCTAGCTTTTGGCAGTGCTATGGGGATCCTTAAGGCGTCACTGTCTACACAGAAGTATCTGAAGGATATTTCATGGTTTCTGGTTGAATAAAACAAATTTCTGTGGATACTGCTTAAAGGAATACCAGGACATGAGACAGTCATTTCTGAAATGTTCATATCTTAAACCTACACAAACCTGGTCATTTTTTTCTGCATTAACATCTTGGTAACAAAACAGTGGCCAGACCAGATCTTGAGGGACTATAAAGCACTCAGACTTTGTTAAGACTTATTTGACACCAATAAGTACTGAACTTGTTGGACTTATTTTACAACAATAAGTAATGACCTTGTTAGATTTATTTTACAACAGGAAGAACTGACCTTGTTAGATTTATTTTACAACAGGAAGAACTGACCTTGTTAGACTTAGGTGACAACAATAAATACTGACCTTGTTACTCATTCTACAGTAATAATTATTGATCTTGTTCGACTTATTTTAAAACAATAATCACTGACCTTGTTAGTCTTATTTTAAAACAATAATCACTGACCTTGGTAGGCTTATTTTACAGCAATAAGTACTGACCTTGTTAGACCTATTTTACAACAATAAGTACTGACCATGTTAGACCTATTTTACAACAATAAACACTGACGATGTTAGACTTATTTCAATGATAGGTACTGACCTTAGACTTATTTTACAACAATACTTACTGACCTTAGACTTATTTTACAACAATAAGTACTGACCTTATAAGAGGGCTGGTCCCTTGGGTTGAGGCACACACTTATCTATCGATTCATCTTTGACATCACAACCTGGGGACAAAAGATCAAACGTCAAAGTATGATCACCACAGCTAGTCATACCTGTAATCCTGGTATGGTCACACCAACATACAATCAAAAATGCATGTCAATATCAACACTTTGGAAAAGTGGTTACAAATTTGAGTTTTGGACATACAGGTGTGACATAATTATGTTATGACAAAAATACTATCCACCTGCATTTAACCCCTTCAATTTAAACACCAACGCGATTCTGAATAAGAATCCACCCATAATATATATGTAACCATGTTTCACGTGTGGTTAAAAGTGGGTGGCCTAACAAAGGTAAGCCATTTTTTTTTTTTACCAATATCAGGTTTACGTTCAACCTGCTTTATTTGTACAACACCTAAGCCTCACAATGGACATATATTTCTGTCTTTCAGACAGGGTCAAAAGGTGAACAAAATATTTTGGGTGTTGGCAACAGTGACAAAAAGATTTATGGTTTTAAAATCCAATTTCAATCATATGTCTTCCTTCAGTAAGTTGTTTTATTGATGAGTCATACATTTCCATATTATGTCATTATATCGTAATAATAATGTGTATTTTTCATGCAATTAAATATTTATGACAGGTTATCTTCAGAACAGATTTGAAAAGCATTTGGCAACTGAAAGTCTCAATGCTTACATTCACAATGATCCATTTTTTCCTATTATTTATATTTTTTTAAAGCAACAATACTTAAAGAAAAACAATATCCGATGTGCAATTTCTGGAATGGCCAACATCTATATTAACATTTATTTGTGCATAATTCCTGGAATTAACAGCCAAATTCTATACTGAAACAGTTTTTTTCTCAATAATAATGTCAACACTCGATCAGGCCATTCCATTCATAGCCGATATGAATGCCAGCTGTCTCTGGTAGGATTATAGCGGTAATGCTACACGTTGGTAAATATATGTAAATGATGGTTATGTTTTCGAATAATCATTCAATTCATTGGTCCAGCTGTATGATCACTGTCATTCTTATCTTTAACAATAAAACAGGACATGCATTATCAGCGAATTCCCCCCCCCCCCCCCCCAAAAAAAAATGACGTCAACCAGGATGTGGATTGCTATCTCACAAATCCAAACACAAGTTCACAGATGAGCAATAAATTCCAGAATTGAGGAAGGTTGACAACTGCAATATGAAAATGCTTTTGTAAAGGAAATCAATTGGACAATCATGTGTATAGCTTGTATGGAGGGACAGACCTAAAGCAAAACCTGTCTTAAAGGACCAACCTCACAAACTTGTCTTAAAGGGGACATCTAATACAGAATCTGACATAAGTCAAAAGGACATGTCTAAAGAGACCAACTGTACATAAAACCTTTCTAGAGAGGCCAACCTTACACAAAACTTTTCTAGAGAGGCCAACCTACACAAAACTTTTCTAGAGGGGCCAACCTTACACAAAACCTTTCTAGAGAGGCCAACCTTACACAAAACTTTTCTGGAGAAGCCAACATAACACTGCACCATTAATCTACAGGGACCAATCTTATACAGAACCTTTCTAAAGAAACCAACCTTACACAAAACCTTGCTAGAGAAGCCAACATTAAACACTGCACCATTCTAAAGAGACCAATCTTACACAAAACCTTTCTAGAAGAGGACAACCTTCCACAAAACCTGTCTAAAAAGATCAATCTTATACAAAACCTTTCTAAAGAAGCCAACCTTTCTAAAACAAGACGAAATTCACAGAACATGTCTGAATGCAGGTTTCACCTAATACAAAACCAGTTTAATTGGACCAACCAAACGAAACCTGTAAAAAGAGACAAAAGTTGACTCAACCCGTCGTAACCCTTTCACCACTGTAGACTATAATGGACTCATCCATATTAATGCATGGTAGAGTCTACTAAAGTTACATAGGGGTGAAAGGGTTATAAGGGAGCAACTTAGCAAGACTGTCTAAATTAGGACTGACCAAACAAATTTTTTTTAGTTAAAGCCTTCTCATATTGGTCAGGAAAGATACCAGACATTTGATTTAAGGAGGATGTTGAATATTTTAGTAAAATTCATAAGTAATTATTAAAAGTGGATAGTCAAACTCATCACAAGGAACAGTTTAATCAAGCCTGTCGCCACTACACAGAATGACCTTGACCTTGACAACACAGAAAGATATGTACTTCAACACAGAAATATATATACACAGGCGAACTAAAAAAAACTTACCAATTTTAAACGAAATTTATATTCACCATTATACAATACAATTGTGAGTATGTTTTTTTTATTGCATTACCTTTAGAAACCAATCACAAAAGATAACTTTGTCGCATTATTATGATGTGAAGATACACTTTAAAGCAGGTTTCCTTTGAATTAGACAAAGCGTGTTTACCACATAACATTGTAAAACAAAGGATACTTGAGTATAACATTTGTATGAGATACCTGAGGCTGTCGAAATATTTAGGATCGCTTATGATTAACCCTTTCACCCCTATGTAACTTAAGTAGGCTCTACCATGCATTGATATGGATGAGTCCATTATGGTCTACAGTGGTGAAAGGGTTAAGCGGTAAAGGTATGCATGAACTTAAATTACACATTTCATATTTACTTATTTTGAATCTATACATTTAAGGAAGTATGCGTGCTGCCTGAATATTCTACATATAAACGGTGTTAGAATTATCTCCCTTTATATTTTCCCGTTCACATTATCTGAATATTTGCTTTCTCATGTTACCTGCCCAACATGTCATCATCAAAGTCAGCATTAACACAAGTTAGACATTTTACACACACATTTCGTACTGAAACTGGAGGTGCATATAATTTGCTTGAGCACATTTCAGTATTATACTAGGGCCACCTCTAACACAAACAGTTAAATCAGAACACTGTAGGGAAATCAAACATGCACACTGTCCAATACTATGTGCAATATGGTATGTCACAAAAAATTTAACGATTCGATCACATAAATTCTCACAAAACCACACCAATCTGTCCTCAAATGACAGATCTGTGACAGCCATTTCCAATCCATGTTTACTTTAACAGCAAAAACCTTACAAATACAAAAAGTAACATTTGAGCACTTGATCGGGACTATGTGTGAAATATCACGTACACTTATTCTTCTATATAACTCCCTATAGAAAATATAGCCCTGTTGGCGGCTTCCTGTTGCTCTGAATAATAAAACTGGTAAATTGTCATTCAAGATTCTACTTCAGGGACTATAATCATTTAAGATAAAAGCTGGGCTGCTTCAGGGTAACCTTTCTTCACCAAAATCTTGTCGATCACATTTTACTTCCTCTTCTTTTTCATCAGAATTTGTGTATTTCTTGAACAAATTCATGAGAATTATTATTACTAATAATTTAGAATGTAAAAGGCATGTATAAATATATATGTTTTCCTTTTATTTCTAATTCACCTTCGTTAGCTGTCTTCCACCTGGAAATAAAGGGTTTGCATGATTTTTTTATGTCCCATTGCAATAGATGATATCGCGACCAGTGGAACTCTTCAAATAGGAGGGGATTAAACTGTACCCGCTGGGGCAACGGACAACATGGCAGCGCCAAAACATTCACATACGAATTTCCACGAACTTCCATGTAATGAGTTGGGAAATATTTTAAAGTCAAAAGGTATCACCTACTCCAAATAAGAAAATTGGGGAGCTAGTACACCTATGATAGCAAGCAGACCTGTTAAATTGGCCAGATATTGAAAAAGAGGACGAAGCTAAAGCGTCACAGCTGTGATGGATCGTCAGCGGCATACAGTCTGTATCGTGTGTTACCTTTATGTAAATGAAACGTCAGAAGGCTTGTTTTGGACAAACAATTTGATTAGAATGTCATCACTAAATGCATTTGATATGACCTCTATTATTGTGAGTTATTTTTGTTGGTTCAATACAGTGAAGGTGGGGCATATTGTTGACACATGGCAGATTGTTTTGCCCCCGTATCCTCGCATTCTCTCGCGAGACTTGTGCATTTTCCAGCAAGAACTCTTCGAAGGGGAGTAACTCGTGGATGGTCGCGATAACACCTATTGGGTCCCAAAAAAACCTGTGCTTTCCCAATTTAACGGAAAGTAGACTTTCCCGAATTTCTTACGACTAAAATTTCCTTTATTTCAGACGAGACAAAAACTGAACAAAACATACGTTAATTTAAAATGTTGTCGGTTGTTCTTATTGTGTATTGTTCAATTTACTCAAGTTTCCCGGTTATACAGCGATAAATTATCCCATCTACAGTGTAAATTTCTGTGTATATTTTCCCGGTTAAGACAAACCACTGTAGAGCCCAAATGGAGTATAAAAAAAAATCCTTCCCCAACAACTACATACAATATATATACGGCTACACTTATAAACATATATAGCTATATACAACCTGACTTGAAACTTAAAACAACAATAAATTTGTTCTGGTGATGTATATTGGTACACGTATGTGATTCTGTATTGAAGATAATATTTTACACTGACCAAACAAACCCAGACAAAATGTTGTTTAATCTTTATGAGGATTAACCCTTTCACCCCTATGCAACTTTAGTAGACTCTACCATTCATTGATCTGGATGAATCCATTATGGTCTACAGTGGTGAAAGGGTTAACACCAATAGGATCGCACGGTGATTCCCTTGTCAATCACGTTAAGCTTCAACCCCTATAGACAGTGTTATTCTGCAGACAATCATAATAGATAATCAAGTTTTGATATGGTCTGATCAATATTTTGATACACATTAGTTTGGTCCAATGCTTTTTTACAAGCTCCAACAGATATGTGTACTTTTGTACTTTACACTTGTAATGCTGATACAGTGTATTTATAACGTAAGTTTTTTTATTATTATTACAACAAATTTAATTTTGAACGTTACACGAAGGAACAATTCAAGTTTATATCAAACTTAACTGCAGACCACAGAAGTTTTCGTGGCAGAGAAACACTATTTCAAAATATTTATACATC